CTCATGCTCCAAAATGTAATTTACATACATGGCAATTGTGTGTAAGAAGCGTCGGTTTTGCTAAAAAATTTACATCTTGGATTACGGGTATTATTCTTCTTCAAATACCTGATTCATCATCAACGTCTTGAACAATAACAGTTTCTCATCAAAAATAATTAATTAAAATTTATAAAAAAAAAAAAAAAAGAAATTTTATTTGAATTATGAAAATAAACCAATTCATATTCTATTAGAAGATGTTGAAGGTGGTGAAATTAAGACAGCTGATATAGATTTTGGACGACGCTGAAATGATCTCGGAAAAAATAGGGGAAATGATCTCGGAGTACTTAATTACTCCAGAAAATGATGAAATTGATCTCGTTTTTTTCCGAGTACAAATTATGAGGAAATGATCTTGGAAAAAACCTTATTAACGTTGAATCAACAAAATTAGAGGAAAAAAGATCTCGGTTGGATATGATAAAAAGAAAATGGAAATATAGTGTCCCAGTTTATGTGTTTACTAATAAACAGAGAACAGTATTATAACGAAATACAATAATTTTATATTTATTACTATCCAGTACAAAATATATAAGAAAAGGTGTATAAAAAAAATCAGTCCTTTAACAATGAGTATTTAACATTTTTTCTTCGTCCTTTGCCATTTCTTTTTCTAATTAACTGTGGAGTTGTTCGAACTCTCCAAATCATCATTAGACCTGTTGAATAGATACACGAAGATTGCTTCAGATTAAATTTACACGAACAGAATATTGGAAGTAACATGTTAGAAAAATTTAAAATTCGTGCTGAATTCAACCAGTGTTTAAAATGATCCTACGATAACCAAGACATTGAATAAAAATAATGTACCCAAGCGCGAGTAGTCATTTGAGGCTCTGCTGGTGGAACCACAAATGTAAATGCATCTAATTATAATATTTCGCTTCCATCAACTTTATGAGTCCGATCATAAGCTTTAATGTTCATATCAGCATCCATGTTTAAATGTATTTGAAATGGATGCTGTACTGTATTCATTGACCAATCGCTCAACATGTCGTCAGATAAATCATTTTTACTATTCTGCTCATTCTTTCTGTTCATCATATGCACCGCTTTCTATATAACTATATGTGCATATATATGAAAAAAACTGAGATCTTTTTCTCTAATTTATACCTTTCTCTGCTAATGAGTTTTTTTTCCGAGACAAATTCCATTTTTTTCATAGATTTTACACAATTGTTTAATTCATTATTTGTACTTTGAAGTAAAATTGATTTAAGTTGTTGTTATACTATGATATAAATCATCTGAACTTCATCTTAGTAATCATCATTATCATCGACAAAAGTAGTAGGTTAATAATCATCATCAATATAGATAAAAGAATTATTTTCTTTTTTTTTATTTATATAGATTTTTGTCCTGTTGGATGTATTTTATATGAATTATTAACACTTGAATTATTATTTCATTCCAAACAAGATGATAATAAAGTCATCATTATCATTTAAATACATTTTCTTGTAAGAAGAAATATTTAAATCAATTTATTTTATCATTTATTTTTTTTTTAGTTATGCAAGAAAATCATAAATTTGTTGCAAAACAACTTAAAACATCAAAATCAGCTTATTTATATTCAAGTATATTGATATTTTGTTTTCTTTTTCTATAATTTACATTTATTTATCTTTTAGAAACCATTCGTTTCATCACAAACACTCCATCAGCAACTTCGACAATAGATTATTAATTGTTTTTTACGTTTCTTTTTTTTCTTTGTATTTGTATGTCAGATGTTAATGAACAAAACCTACATAATTATATTCTAGTGATAGAAGCAAAATATCAAGTTTTTTATTCATAGATTGACAGCTTATTAAGTGAATATGGATTAAAGACCTATAGAGTCAGACATTTTGATTTCGACTCTGAGAAATTTCAAGAATTTTCTCGACTACAATATATACTTGTTTTTATGCCACTTGTTATTGAGCACATTAATCTGATACTTTTTTTGCTGAAACTTATTCGAATGTTCTATGGAAAAATGAACCACTCAATATTTCAATTATATCTCTTTAAATGTTTGTTTATTGAAACTTTATAGTTCAAAAACAATTTATCTTATAATTCTTTACGAAATGGTATGTTTTTGTTTTTTGAATCTGGCAGACATAATAATTTTCAAAACACAAGCTTCGAACAAATAGTCCAGAATAAACATTTTTGCAAAACAATATTTTGTCGAATTTTTATGATTACATGTTTTATTTCCTCAATAAAGATATTTTTCAATGCTAGTTTTTTTCTATTCAATACCATAGCCAAAATCATTTCAAATTGAATAGTTCAATGGTTCATGTTTTTTTTTGTTGATGCAAAGAGATAAAGCTTTTCAGACATCATTATTATGTTGTTGCAGTGATAGGAAGTTTTGAATTGTCTTAATAAACTGTTCAACCTTTTACTGATGATCTTTTCCGATCACGGTGCATTAGATCATATTCAATAAGTAGATCACATTACTTGAGTATCAATAAAATATGAAAATAAAATATTCGCAATAGATTGATCATTTCATCAGAACCATGTAAAATCTCATGTCATCTAATTAACATATTAATTATCCCAAAAGAACTTTACCTCTTCCAGGATGATCATTTCTCGATCTTTTAATTAGACAAATGCAATAAGCACTAGCTGGGAAGAGAATCTTTGAGTTGGAGATTTTCGTAATTTTATAATTGAAACTTGAGAAATTCATAATTTTCAAAAGTTTAAAAACATCTCTAATGTTTTGCCCTAGATGTTTTCGCAAATAATTCCAGCTCAGTTGGCCAAAATAAGATTGCAGTTGTAAACAGACCTGGTAGTTTTTTGAAAATCACTTGGAAAAGTTTTCGAAAATTTGCTTTTAAAATTTTTCCCTTGAACATGGGTCGCATGATTTTCAATAATCTAACCGTAGCAAAAATTTAAACCCGATCAGTTGTACTTTAGCAGAGAATCAAAAGTAATACAATTTAGATTGATATAATTCATGTCGTTGAGGGTAGGACAAGTAAGAAGTGGTTAATACTTTGGTCTATATTTTTATTATTAAATTTCTTCAAAGCGATCATTCGAAATAATAAATCTTAGCCATCCACTAAATTTCTATATTCTTTCTCATGTATTTCTTGTAGGAAAGGTTACTTTATTTCTTATTGGTGAGTCAAAAGTTTGTAATACTCCACTATTTTTTTGTCCTCAAGAATGTATGACTCACTGCTGGAAAAAGCCAACAAAAAAAACCAGTCACAATGCACATGTTCTTTTCTTACTTCTGTTTGGAAGAAACCTTTTCTTATAAGCAATGCATGTAGTAAATTTTTTTCTTTCTTTCATAGGATGTTTCAAAGGACAGTCAAATAAGAAATAATGTTGACTTGCAACATTATTTTCTCTTCAAAACATCAACACATTTCATAGTTTTTCTTTCACTTGCTGCTGAATAAAAAAAATGTCAACAAAAGGAACACGGTAACTTTGTTTGAATCTGAAATAACATGCTTATTACTACCTACGTAATTTTCAATTAGTGAGGATTTAAATCATGATAAAAATGCTTGCAAAAAAACTAAATATTGTTTTATTTATTATATAGAAACATTTCATTACTAAAATCGTAGTCATATATATGTCTATTTAAGGAATGGGAAAATAATATGTGGATTGTGCAAGGAACCTATCGATGAAGCCAAATATCGTACTCATGTTGCGGAATGTGGACTGCTAGATAAAGATGAAGAAGTTCAACCAGTATTGAAAGTTTGCGCTTTGTGTGGAAAAAAAGTCACAGACTTAACTGAGCATTATGAAACATGTACAGGTGGAGATAACTCGACAAACAACATGTATGAAAATCGACAGAAGTCAACAATTACACCAGTAAGATCAAATATCAAGTTCACCTTTCGTTTTCTTTAATACTACATATGCAAAACATTGATAGGTATATAGTTTTTTATAGGTTATATAATGAGATTGCATAATGTCACTCACTACGTTACGTAGAATATAAAACACTTTATGACACTTGATAGAAAAAAGATCACTTGAAAGTTGTTTTCGTCAGACTTCGTAATCTATTGATTTAAAAAGGTACATAACACCTCAAAATCTTATTGAATTAAATTCTACATAAATAAAATTGATATTATTGACATATCAATAAATACTTTCCAAACTATCGTGATGAACTAATTATTTTAAGTGCTTCTAAACTGTTCAAAAAAGTTTCTTAATATCTATTAAGATTCGCCAACAAGCAACAGCTTATGCTTCAAGTCGAACAACTACTAAAGAATGCCCTATATGTTCAGAAATGATTGTCGAAGACGAATACGTAAGTCATATAGATAAATGCGCTACTAGATCGTCGAAGCAACCTACAAACTCGAAGAAAACCAAAGAATGTGTTATATGCTCCGAAATGATTGCCGAAGATGCATATGCAGACCATGTAAATAGATGTGGTACAAGGTCACCAGTGAGACCCAAAAACTCGAAGAAAACCAAAGAATGTGTTTTATGCTCGGAAATGATTGCTGAGGATGTGTATGCAAATCATGTAGACAGGTGTGGTACAAGGTCACCAGTGAGATCAACAAACTCGAAGAAAACAAAAGAATGTATTATATGTTCTGAAATGATTATCGAAGACGAATACGTAAGTCATATAGATAAATGCGCTACTAAATCGTCGAAGCAACCTACAAACTCGAAGAAAACCAAAGAATGTATTATATGCTCCGAAATGATTGCCGAAGATGCGTATGCAGACCATGTAAATAGATGTGGTACAAAGTCACCAGTGAGACCCAAAAACTCGAAGAAAACCAAAGAATGCATTATATGCTCTAAAGAGATTCCTGAATCTGATCATATCGCTCATGTCAATGCATGTATCTCTGGATCTTCTTCAAGTTCAAAATCGAAGCCAACAATTAGACAAAATCATGCATCATGTTTTACCTGGTAAGTTAATCGTTTATCTCAATTATTTTCATGTTTTTTGTTGTAGTTCATCGGCAGTAGACGTTTCGAAAAATTCAAGTCATACTCTTCCATGTCAATCACGTCATATCTATTGTCTTAAATGTCTTCAAAAGTCGATGAATGAATATATTCAATCCAACACTGCTCCTGTATGTCATTCGACTCTCTGTGATTATGAACTTTCTCGATATGATGTAGCATGCTTACCACTTGAAGCAGATATGATTAAACGTTTACTAACTTGTGTCAAAAGTACTCAACGTGCTAAATGTCCTTTATGTTCCTTCTATGTTGATTTTAATATTATGGACGATCTTCAAAAACATGCAGCTACATGTAACTCTGAAAATTTCATTCCTTGTGAATATTGTCACTGTCCATATAATATTTATCAATTGGATGACCATTCACGACAATGTCGAATAGTTCCTTCCTCTCAACAACAACAAGCATTAATCGATTTCATCTTACCTCGAACTAAATATCCACTAACAGCACAACAGATTCGTGTTTTTATTGAACATAGAAAGAAGACTCGTTTGCCACTTGACCCACATTCAATTATTGAAACACTGGCTGAGTTCGGTAAATTTTAGCCTATTTTTTTAATTTTATGATTAGGTTGATATTTTTCTAATAGATAGTGCCTTTCCGCTTGAGGTTCCGACTCGTGTCTGCGACATATGTATGGATACATGTGTCTATGATGATATTTTTGTTTTCGGTTGCGAGGAACATCATAAACTATGCTATGGATGCTTTGAAACTTCATGTACTACAAAGATGAACAGTAATGAAATACTTACATGTGGAATGTGTGCTTATGAACTACAAGAAGGAGAAATCAAACAATTGCGAGTATCAGCTGATCAAAAGAAACAATATTTGGATTATCAAATTCAGAAAACATTCAATGCTTATGCTGGCAGTACCCGAGGAGTAATTAAATGTCCAAACCAAGCATGCAAGTGGGTAGCTGAGGCGCAGAATCCTAACGACCGATTTCAGGTGCAATGCCCATTGTGTGGCTATGAGTTTTGCTCACTTTGTAATCAGCAATATCATTTTCGAACAACATGTCAACAAATTCCAGAAATTACACAACGTTGGTTCTTTTGGTGTAATACAGGTAGATTTATTATTTAATATTAAATATTTTTATTGCATCATTTATTTTTTGTTTAAAGAGCGTGGTAACTATTGGCAAGCTCGAGCACAACAAGATGCTAGCTTTCGGGAACAATTGGAAGATTTTGAACGGCAGAGAGCTGCTAATATTCAACGAAATCAAGAACTGGCTCAACGTTACAATGAACTATTGGCTGATGAAAACTTTAAAGCTCAAAACTGTCGTCTTTGTCCACATTGTCAGCGAGTTGTACAACGTCTCTCAGGATGTGATTCAATGGTATGTGGTCAAAATTATCATGGCGGCGACCAACAGTCTGGATGTGGCCAACGTTTTCAATGGCCACAGGCTCACCCTTATGTACCCATCACCAATACAGGTCCACAGCAAGTGGCAAATAATCTAGCTGCTCCTGAACAACAAAAACTTATAGTGCATCAAGGCGTTCAGTGCGTAGCATAACAAACGATTTAATATTGATTATTTAAATATTTTTATTCAGATGTGATACTTGTCACAATGAAGTTCAAGGTATTCGATTCGACTGTGTTCATTGTGCTTCGTTAATATTCTGCGAAAAATGTGAACAACGTTCTACTCTAGAACATTCAAATGCGATACGTGATCAACAAAAACAACAACATGTTTTTCAACTGATATCACAACCATTAAACTAAAACAATGAACAATGATTGATTTATTTATTGTTCTAAATGACATAATACAAACAAGAAAACAGTTTTGCCGATGAAATAATAGATGTTGCCTTTCGCTATAAAATTATTCGAAACACAGAAGAGCTTATTTTACACGCATTCGTATCAGTTCTAAGTGCTATATAAAACTTTTTGTGCTAATCTTGTAATGTTTTTCGAATAATTTTTTGATGCTAGATTTCATGAAATACTATTTATCAATACCTGTCTTTAACTATACTCAATCAAGATTGTGCACTAGAGAAGCGCAAGTTTATTCTACCTCCAATGGTAGAGTAAGGATAAGAGAATTGTTCGCGATCAAGATATAGGGTACGAAAAAAGTTTAACCTCCCATCGCTATACTGTGTACAAGTCAGAAAACGACGCTCGAAATCGAGCATTCTTTACTGCTTACGCAAATGTTGTAATAATATCTTTATAATACTCGATGTTTTCTTCTTACTAATAACTAGTTTTTTCAAAGAAAGTTATTTCTTCATTATTCACTAGTTCATACGTAATATAGAGTATGAAAACACTGAATTATTATTACTTTGAAAGTTTTCTCACTAGAAAATATGAAAAATT